CAGTTGAGATGCTGCAGGCAGGTCTCAGGCTGGTTAGGTAGCTAATGGTGCACATGAGCCATCACTCCTGGAATGAGAAACTTGAAAACTACCTGCAAATTAAAGTCAAGCTTGATGAGTCCAGTGCACACCAATCCATCACTTCCATTTGCTCCTTTGACAGATAGCAATACATGTACAGTGGTGTGAAAAACTCTTTGCCCCCTTCCTGATTTCTTATTCTTTTGCATGTTTGCCACACAAAATGTTTCTGATCATCAAAGACATTTAACCGTTAGTCAAAGATAACACAAGTAAACACAAAATGCCGTTTTGAAATGATGGTTTTATTTATTTTGCTTCGAATGTTATCATGCCATTCAGTGGGACCAGACTGGCCCTCCGGTGCCTCCTAGAGGGCTCAGCCGGCACGGATCAGCCACTCTTGAGGCACAGGAGGGCCAGTCTGGTCCCACTGAATGGGAATGATAACCGGTGATAACGGCCATTGAATGGGAATGATAACATTCGAAGCGGGTGGTTTTGTTGCTAAATACATGAGTGTGTAATGAATGGAGGACCCAGGGAAGTGCATTGGTGCGTCCATTCCAACAACTGGATGGTCCAATAGTTGCTTTCGTTTCGAAACATGTTTTGGTGGACATTATTAGACAAATGCAAGGAAACCTCTTTGTTATTTTTTTTCTGCTTTTGTTTTTTGTTTTTACAATATATTTACAGCTATACTATGTTAGAACATTGTTAAGAGACATTAAAAAGACAATATAGCTAATTTGTTTTTTGGATTTCCTATTGCAGTTTTAAAATTCATAGACTCACCCATCTTAACTCACAGCGGGGAAGGCTTTTGTTTGTTTATGTTTATTTATTTGGCAGACGCTTTTATCCAAAGCAACGTACAATTTTTAACCTACGGGGAAAGTTGTGATCTGTGGGGAAACCGGAGTACCCGGAGGAAACCCATGCTTGCGGAGAACATGCCACTCCACGCAGAAAGGCGGCAGCCGAGTTTTTAACTTGCAACCTTCTTGCTGCAAGGCAACAATGCTAACAACTGCGCTACTATGCAGGTTTAGCATCCAGGAAACACCAGGGAACACCTTGGCTACTAGAAGCTAACCGTTAGCATTAGCAACTCTACAACAAGGCAGAGCTCATTCAAGCTTGAGTTATTTGTGGAGATAAAACATCAACGTTGCAGAGCAAACAGAGTTGGTGGTAGAGTTGTGTTGCTGTTAGCCAATCAGAGGACAGATGCCCAAATATCAGGAAATAAAGGCTGGAAATGCCGTCTTCTGCCACGTACCTTCTCCAGCTGAATTCTCTGTCCTCACACAGGAGCACCAGAGCTTTTCAGAGTATGACTTACAAGGCAGTTGTGTTCAAATATGAGTGAAGGTGAACTTTAATTTCATGTTATTGCAGATATTTCAATATTGTTTATTTTGAGCCAGTACATTTTAAAAAACAACAATGGTTTAAATACTGTAGAAGAAACAGATGACAGTAATTTTAATCCTTCAAGTTGACTTAAATGCACCAACAGATACACCTAACCAGACTGGAACATACGAACACAAGATAAATTATAGAGCTCCGGACCCCACGTGACTCTCAGTAGACGCCATTTTGGCAGAAAATAAGGTAAACAAACACGGATGTAACCATGAACGTGAACGGGATCGGCTTGGATTTTACTTCGTCGGAGTTTACTTCACACTTTAAAACCGAAGAAATCGTTTTATATAGTCAGAAATTAAATAGACTAAACATCTCCGACCCTTACCGTGCCCCTGGGATACTTTTTAAAAACGCCAGAAGCTGTCGGAGTGGACTTATTACCGGACCTGGCCGGGGAACCCCTTGGGATTCCCCCGGCCGGAGGAGCTGGGGAGAGGTCTGGGACTCTCGACGCTACTGCCCGCTCCGACGCCAGAAGCTGTCGGAGCGGACTTCTTACTGGACCTGGCCAGGGAACCCCTTGGGATTTATCCGGAGGAGTTGGCTCCGGTGGCTGGGGAGAGGGAAGTCAGGGCCTCTCGACGCTACAGCCCCCGCAACCCGACTCTGGATAAGCGGATGAAAATGGATGGATGGATGGACAAATAACATAGATTTACATGTAAGTAGTTTAAATAGAGTGCTGTGCTGTTTGAATGTATAAACTGAACACCAAAAGAAATCACTAGTTTTTTTTTTTTTCGTGAATAAAATAAAAATGTCAGGCAGGAGCGTCTCAGGATCTGTCTGAGATCTGTCTCGGTGAGACAGATAATAGCAATCCAAAGTGCTTTTTATGTGTGATCTGACAATTGATCAACCATTGCTTAAAAATTAAATACAGCTTAGCAGGTTAATTGCTGTGATCATAAAACACGTAAACGGCAGCACGCAGAACTCACGAGGCAACGTTTTACGTGATGTTTACTTGTTGCTATGAGTAATAAGACAGAAAAAGCCACGCCTAAATAAGTTTAGGAAGCCCACTAAGAATCGTAATAAAAGCATTTAAAATAAATACCATACACAGGTGAGGAAACGTTGGTTTAAGTACCTGATATGAAGCGGTCGCTGCATAAGTGAAAACCTTTACTCTCGGGATCCCACAGCTTCATTTCAGCCCGGTCACTAGCGCGTTTTATTACAATGATCCAACGTTTGCGGCGCTCCGGATCTTGGGGAATCCTGTAGATGGTTCATTCCTTATGTCGTCCGCGTCTGTTCTGCATCCTGGGGCACAACAGGAATCTACCATATTTCCTGTTTGATTGAGTTTTCTGATAATAACAAATAGTCCAGCTGCCGGCTTCTACCTGCCAAGATGGCGCCGTTTTGATTTGAACTGTTGCATGCCGGGAAACGTGACGTCAACTCCTGGAGCTCTATAGGCAATCTTTATGCTCAATTATTACACCACCGTTTAACAAATCAAATACATTTTGTTGATTGAATTTAGAAATTTAAATCTGAAATGATACAATGAGCTATGGATGGGTTAGGGTCTTACTCTGAATTCAACTGTCCTCCATGTGCCGTCTCCCGCTCCATCTCCACTCAGGCTTCTGGGTCTCTGTGGGCCAGAGTTCCAGAGTGGAGCAGCTGAGGACAGATCAGTTCAGCAGGACATGTTTTAGCCCGGGGCCAGAGTAATGATGGAAACCAGACCAGATGCCTCAGTGCCTGCAGCCCTCAGCCTCTGTTCTGCCTTCCATGCTGACAACATGAGAAAATCACTGGGAGTTCCACCGCTGTCATTCTCAGTCAGACAAATCTGTTAGGGGTTCGCTGAAGAAAAGGTTTACACTTTAAACTGGACATGGGCAGAAGGTTCTGTTCAAGCTCCCTTCAGACAGACAGCTGACTGTTGTTGACTTCTGCATGTTTACACACAGAAAGCTGGAGATGACCTCCACTGCAGGAAATCCAGTTGATACTGATAGATCAGCTTCAGGGTCATAATGACATTTCACTGCTTTACTAATTTTATACTTTTTGCCTTTAAATCGTTTCTCTCATTTTACTGTGCATAAGAAATTTGATAGGAGTTAGGTCATGGGTGTGGAGAAGAAAAGAAAAGAGGAATGTTTATAGAAAGTTCTCGGGTACATTTGTTTCAGTTAGCAAGCATTGGCAAAGCATGCTTGCTCAGATGCCTCACGATAATCTGGAGTTTCCAAAGCATATGTAACTACTTTCAGAGATGATTATAATCCTTACTGCTCACTTTCACACACCACCTGATAGACTAGGTTTACCGTACTCGTGAAGTACGTGAATAGCAAATAAAAGACCAAAATGATGTCTGTGAAACAGCCGGTTTACGGTGATCAGTGAAAGGAGTTTAAACTGATGGTTGGAGAAAATGATTGGGTAAAACTGAAACTATGAACATGAACATGCAAAGTAAATCTGCAGTAAAATGTCAGCATGTGCAGCAAGCCTTTTATCTGTAAAAGTCACTGAGTTATAATTATGTTTGTGTTTACTAAGTTAAATATGTTTAAAGGACCTGAAAAGTAAATAACTTGTAGATAATGAAGGACTTTCAGAGAGTTACAGCTCAAAGTGTTGAGCGAAGATCCCGAGCACTAGCTCAGGGTATCTGCAAGGGAGTCAAATTTAAGACTTTTTAAGACCTTTTTTAAGGCCACTTTGACCAAATTTAAGCTATTTTTAAAATTAAATTTAAGCTATAATTTCCAGCTATTGCCTGGAACCGGTGCTAACCACTTAGCGAACGTGGGATTAACCATCCAGTTACCATTAAACTTGCATTTCCCCATGGCGCGAGCTCCCACTAGCTTAACCAGCTAATGTGCTCATCTAAAGATAGCCCTCTTTCACAACCAACTGAATGTGTACGGTTTCGCTTACGCCAACATCGTACACAAAAAATGCTGAACACTAACTAGAAATTCACGAAAAATTTGACAGAAATAATAGAATCTTGTTTATTGGGTCTTTGGTAATTTAAGACCTTTGGAAACTGTATTTAAGGATTATTTGTCATTTTTAAGGATTTTTAAGGCCTTAAATTTGGAAAAGCTAATTTAAGACTTTTTAAGGACCCGCGGATACCCTGTAGCTGTGTATGACATTCAGATACTACCAGCACGGACTTTAGCCTCATGTATGTCAAGTATAACTGAGTTGGAGTTTGGTAAGTACCGGCCGAGTGTGGAGGCCTTGAGGACGAAGAAAGGGCATTTATTGATGTGCATCCAGTAATTTCGGTTTGAGAGTTTCTAAGAAATCCATCCTGTGCTTCATGAGATGTTTAGCAAACCAAACATACACCCACACAAACACAGCAAACCAAACACACACCCACACAAACACAGGCAAAAACACCATTGCCCACTCTTTACCTATCAGTGGCAGGAGTATTGACTACAGGCCTGGAGGCCCGGGGAGAGAACCCTGCTGTGTCATAAAGTTTGGAGCATGAAGACCGATCTTTTCTCTCCAACATGACTTAGAACTGACAAACGCTCACAAACCTCTGCTGCACTGCTCATGCTGTCCTGACCCTCGCTGGCCCGCACCAGTAGCAAGTAACGATGTTGGTCGCTCTCGTAATCGATGGCGCGGGTCAGGCTGATTTCACCCGTCTCTGCTGAGATGGAGAACAGACTGCTGGGATTGATGAGGAGGCTGTAGCTGATTGGTTTCTTCTGGAAGGACACAGCAGGTGTTGCCAAGAAGCTGAGGAAACATGGAGACAAAGAAACGGGTGACTTATTACCGAAGGACCGAACATTAAATAACCATGTTTACCAAATATTCCTGTTCATTTCAGAACTAAAGAACACCAGCCAATGGGACCCGTTGAAGACAGTCTCACATGTGCTGAGAGCAAAACTGAAAAAAGTATGGCTGAGGATTCGAAGGTTGGTGGTTTAATCATGGCTGCTCCAGAATATGTCAGTGTGTGTGGGCAAGACTCGAACCCCCTGTAACTCCCAGATGCATGGCTTTGGGTTAAATTCAGACACTAAGAACTAAGTTTATATTAATAGAACTTGTTCGTGTGGAAACGCTTGTCAGCGGTTCTGTTTTTGTTGCCTGCAGTTGTGACACAACGTACCACAACAGCAACACTTTAACACCGAACTGTTGCTGTTTTCAGCAACAAATAACTGCATGTTCTACAAAGTCATGGACAGAGGCATTTTAGACAACTTCAGTAAATCATTTCAGCATCTAGAGATTTACTTTCTTCTTCAGTCTTTCCACGATTGTCCTAAAAACACAGAGTGCATCAGGAATCTTCATGTGAGGGTTCAGACTCACAGACAAACCGTTTTAAAAGCTACACTCAGTCTAACAGAAACAACAATCTACTGTAGAAAACATCTAAACTGGGACAGATTACCTTGGGGCATATATTCATAAAATTGTTTTTTAATGGAAACTCAGTTTTAGTTTTCTCAGAAAGGACATTAAGGGTTTTAATTGTGACTAACAATTAAAATTATGGGAAGAGAAAAGCAAGAGCAGCTCCTAAGTTCAGAAACCCGAGCCCCCGTCTGATCCCGGACAGGGAAAACACACTCCTCTATCCACTTGGGGCTGAAAACAATTTTCTACACTTTTCTGTCCACTAGGGCTGGGGGTAAACGATTATTTTTAAAACGATTATTCTGACGATTATTTTATCGAATAGTCGACTATTCTAATGACTATTTAGAAAATTAATCTAATGATTATTTTTCTATTGCACAATTAACAAAAACCAGAAAATCTCAAATAAATTCCTCAAAAAATTTGATAAATTGTTACTGTAAGAGAATAAACACTACAGGCCTTCCATTTTGTATAACACTGCTTTTATTGTGTTGCGGTTGGTTATGTTCTGGTGACGTGTGGAACGTGGGAGTGCAGGCTGCTGCCTGAGAGGTGGTTGGAGACGGAGTGTGTCCATGCTGCTTTGTTTTGGTCACTTATGTGCGTGAGGCGAGTGATGTTACGACTCTTCCTGGGGAGTTTGGCTCGTGTGCAAAAAGGAAGGACAATAACGGGATTTAAAAGTTAAAATGATGATCAGGTTTATTTACAACTACAAAACAACATAAATCTTTCCATCCACAGGTTGGGAATAATAAAACTAATTCTGCCTGTGGGGAATTAAAACAAAGTACAAATAAGTAGGGATGTCCCACTGGGCAAAGATTACTGGGTTCTGGACCAAAATAAGGATCTCCAAAGGTCCAAACTCTAAACTGGGTGGTTAAACCAAACTAAAGGTGATATTTTAAACTAAACCGAAAACCCACAACACTCTAAATGTAATAAAAGGGAGATCTACACCACAAAAACGATGAACTCTAAACCAAAACGTAACAGCTCATCCCAACGCAAGAAGCTGTTAGCGAAGATGCTAACAGTCAGAGCCGGATTAACGCAAAGGCAAAGTAGGCACGTGCCTAGGGCCTGATTGGCTGGATGGGGCCCAGACAGAGGGACAAAATTAAAAATTAATTAATTTAAAATTAAATGTACAAATCTCCTATGATATAATTTGTGGAAAGGACTCCTATCTACAGTTTATTTCAACATTTATTAATTAACTAAAAATAGTGATACTGTTTATCTTAACCATAGACCGTTACATTAGCTACGTCACATTAACGCCAGCCAATGACTGTATTCTACAACTTGGGCGCCACCCAATGAAGGACGTCAGAGAAGCGGTCAGTCAGAGCGGGACACAACAAAGCTAGCAGGTGTTTTTGAGTAGGCTAACTTTCACGATGCTTTCGGGTGCGGCAAAACGTAAAAAGAAAAAAAGATGAAGAGGAACAAAAGAAGAGACGGCGGGGGCTTTACAGAAGTTTCTGTCGGGCTGCCGTCCGACAGCTGTGAACCTGCTCGAGTCAGCAGAGCCAGAGGCCAGACCCAGAGCAGAGACAGCCCGAAGAAGCGGTGGAAGATGCGGTCGTTATTTACTGGTACCGCCTTGACATTGACACTCCCAATGGATAAGATGAGGATAATTTATTAGTATTTAATACAGCTGTGTAATGACGTATAATTCATATCAAAAAAATCGTCTGATAGAATGTTTTACATACAAACAACCAATTTGTAACCAAAGACTAGACTACGTAAAATGTGAATGAACTTTTATAAGTAACTTTGGTAAGTTTCAGATTTCAATTCATTAAATAACATCGATGGAGGGGGGGCCCATAAAATGCAGCCTGCCTAGCGTAGTCCATTTATTTAATCCGGCTCTGCTAACAGTAGCTTTACCAACGTTAAGTTCAAGTTACCAAGTTTAAATAAACCAAAAATACCCAGCAGCAAACAGACCAGCACAGAGGAGAGACTGCTAGCACCAAAACAGCTCTCCTAATGTCTGAAAGAAGCTCCTTAATGAAGGGAGAAACGCTCCCGGTGATGTTCTACATCTGCGGTAGAGACGAAGCAGCGCATCTGACCCCGGAAGTTGTTGTCTGTTGCCGGGAGACGAAGGCGGGCAAAACAGGAAAAGAATCTAGTAGTGGACGGACGGACATTGTTCCGGGTCTTCGGTATTTGGCGGAGATGTTAGTGAAGGCGGAGAAGAGGGCGAACTAGAGGAAAAACAGGCAGATTCCTCTTCTATTTACAAACTCCTGGGGATGCAACAAGTGGGCGCGGTGCGTCGACTTCCGGATCTGACGTCGACAAATCTTTAGAATCGAGCCGTCGACGTCGTCGAGGCTTCGCTACAGCCCTACTGTCCACATTTATTTAGCACCATGGTGATGTGGCGTGACACCTCCTTGTTCCTCTGATAATCACAGCGAGGGATAATCCAGATTTTACCCTTTAGCATCCTTCCTAATGTTGACACGAAGTCAGATAACTGAGGTCCATTAACGTTACCATGGTTACATGTTAATTTAGAGCGGGAGTTGAGGAGCTGGTTTCCTCTTAAATGACCATGTTTACCAGTAAAGACGGCCCGGTTGTATCTGTCGCATCTTTTATGATGTGCAGCTGTTTGGGACCGAGCAACAGTCGGTTTGGATCAAAGATCAAAGACGTGAGACTTTGTTAAACACGGGGAAATGGAAGGTCTTCAAAATGTATTTAGTAAAAAGCCACCAGCTAAATGTCTAAAAGGTTGAGTTTCAGAGGTAGTGAATAAAAGAAAAGCCAACAGGAGGGGCAGTGCCTTTTCATTTAGTGGTCCTCAGATCCAGAACAGCGAACCAACAGAATAAGACTGTTGATCTCAAACATTAATGACAGAAACAAAAATGTGTGTGAGACGTCTAGTTTTTGTGTTGATTTAAGACACGTTGGGTTTTTTCTTTTGTGGCATGTAAAAACCTTTTATGTATGCATGTTTCAGTAAAACTGTCGGCAGTGCCTTTGGCTTAGACCACAGACACACACACCACAAGCATAAAAACAACTTCTGAGTACGACTTCCTCATCTGACTGAACAAGCTGTGGCGGCTGACTGACATCTGTGGAATTATCCAGTTACACAAATTAAAAGTGCTCATGAGCAACATGTGGTGACGGAGCACGGTTTGTGCTCGCCTCATTGAGGAGAGGAGGGCTACGTTAGACAATGTCGGCCAGCTGTGCTAATTACCTCCACCTGGCACTTCTACCTGAACTAATCAGACCCTCTCTAAGAGTAGACCGGCAAGGTCCACCAGAGTGCTGGAGCCAAAGCCCTAAAGAGAATCTGACAAGCAAACCAATGTATGCAGAGGCTTTTATTATAGATGCTGGTCATACAGAGTAATACTTATTACCTGCTTTGTTTAATGGAAGGAAAATACAGTTTAATGATGTTTTACTTGTTCTTTGCTGCCAAAGTACTCGTTATGACATTTTATAGTGGTAAATGATAGTTACCTACTCGATGGATGACCTGTCAGCAGTCTTTGATAAATGCAGCATAATTATAAAAACACCAACCAAATCTTAGCGTGCACTCAACCCTTAAAGTGACTCATTCACCTGTCTCGACAGCAACGGGCTGAAAGAGCTGTATCGCTGTTTTTCAGCTTCCACTGTGATCATGGTGGTGTCACATGACCACTCACATGTTTGTGTCATGATCTGGGAGGGTGAGTGTCATCTATCAATCCTTGATACACACACACACACACACACACACACACACACACACACACACACACACACACACACACACACACACACACACACACACACACACACACACACACACAAACACACACACACACACACAAACACACACACACAAACACACACACACACACACACACACACACACACACACACACACACACACACACACACACACAAACACACACACACACACACAAACACACACACACAAACACACACACACTACAAACTCCCGACACAGTCACACACACACTACAAACTCCTGACACACACACACACACACACACACACACACACACCAACAGACTCCCGACAAACTCACACACACACACCCCTCCAAACTCCCGACAAACTCACACACACACACACACACACACACACACACACACACACACACACCCCTCCAAACTCCCGACAAACTCACACACACACACACACACACACACACACACACACACACACACACACACACACACACACACACACACACACACACACACCACTACGAACGTTTTGATGAATCACGGACCCGCCAAAAGGTACATCCTCCCTGCTTGAAGTGGTTGACGCCATTACAGCGGCAGATGATGTTAAGGTTTCAGTTTTTGTGTCCTCACGTATAAATTCATGCAATATTCTTTATTATTGTTATTGTTAATATTATTAGTGAGAGAAAAGGAAAACTTTATACTGCTGAAAAATTAGCTACAAATATTCAACATTACCATGTTAGACTCCTGCAAATTATTATTACTTTTGGTTTCGTTTTTGTTACAGTTCATATAAACGAGTGGATCTGAGAAACTGTTTTATGGAAGCACTTCAAATAAGTGTGTTGTTGTTTGAAAGGATTGTGTGCAACTTTTTTTCACCCACAATTCTGAGGGATATAGCTGTGGCCTTTCTGTATAATGAAAAGTATGTGTGAAAACAAACAAAATATTTTCAATATCTGTATAGATAATTGCATTATTTTTGTAAAATATTTTGTTGCTATGAACATTTAACATTTATATAAGTAATTTTTAGAATGTAAGGGTTGTATTAGTGTATAGCAAGTTGAAATACTCCAAAAAATGGCACCACAGCATGTAAAAATGTACATTTAAGTTCTGGCAAACGTGTTCTATGGCAGGTCTTACAGGGTTAATCAGATTTGTTTGGGTTTGCATTTATGTTTATGACCCATTCTAAATGTCTCACAGAAGTGTTGTAGGTAACAGTTCACTATGACTCCTGATGAAACAACATATTTTATTGTGCTTTCATGAGTAGAGATGGACTTCAGTCAGACCACAAGGGTGCAGGATCAGGATGGAACGGATGACAAAGATCAAAGATTTTCTAATTAATGGATCAACATAAATCCCAAACTCTACACATTTATAGAAGGCCTGATGAAGACCTAAAAACTACAGAAAATATAGATTATCTTGTGTTATAGCAGAAAGTACCAGTCTGTTCTAAAAGTCACATTTAGTTTGATTTTGATTTTGATTTGAATAACAAAAAGCAACAGCAAACACAGGGATGAGCACAACGTTTACACCTGAACAGTATCAGGAGGTTTTAACTCACAGAGGCCTGCAGGTCTGCTGTTTTATGAGCAGAGCGCTGAGAATCCGCTTGTTAGGAGCGCTAAACGTTCTTTTGCCGCTTCCGTGCGGAGCGGTAGGGAAACACATGTCAAACACAGAACCGAGTCTGGTCACAGAACCGAGCAGAGTTGTGATGACGTCACACCGATGTGCAAAGGTGCGGGTTCCAACCCACAGGAGAGGAGGGAGAGAGCGAGTGGATCACAGGGACTGAACTGATGTTTTGGAGCAAAACTGCGGTAAAAATGGCCGTTTGTCCTCATTATCTAAAATGCCCCCCGTGCAGGTGTCTCTTTCTGTTCCGACGCTGCTACACATAATTTTACTCTGCTACTGATATGATTTAAAATGTAGCGAATTACAATTCTTTAACAAAAAACATATCCCAGTAAAAGTAAAAGTACAGATTTTAAAAACGACCTAAAAAGTATAAATACACAAAAAGCTACTCAATTACAGTAACGTGAGTAAATGTACTTTGTTACTTTCCACCTCTGCATTTACTTTATGCTTGTTTGATTTTTATTTAAATAGAAACTCGGACTTCAAAGCAGCAAGGTAGAGAAATTAATGACATAAAATCTAAGTTTTATTTTAATTGCCACAATTACAAATCTGACTTTTTTTTTAAAAACCTGTAAACCCTTGAGTTTGTTTATTTTTCTGAATGTAATATTTCTTCACCAAAATAAAAAAACATGTTAAAAGACTGATAACTGGTTTCTAAAGACGTGGGAAATGTTTACTCAACTGGGGTCAGCATGATTCTGAATAAAACTGAAGAGAGACAGATGTGCGTTTGTGTGATGTGGATGCAGCGCTGATGCATGATTAGTGTAGTACAGGGCAGGTGTGCTAACTCACGGCTGTCCTTCAGGGGTGTTTTCTGGGATGGCGATGGTGAAGGAGGCGTTGGTGAACTGTGGCGGCCGCGCTCCAGCAACCACAGAGATGACAGCTGGAGCACTGCGACTGCCCAGCCCATCAGCGGCTACCACAGTCAACAGGTACTCCCTGTCCCGCTGCAGAGGAAGGCCCGTTGTCCGCACCTGGCCACTCTTCCTGTCCACCTCAAAACGACCATCACCACCTGCAGGAAAGGGATGGTTGGGCAGAAGTAAAATATGTCAGAAACACTCAAAGATTAAAGGTTATGTCTGGAGTTTCATCAAAGTTCAATTTTAACATCTAAAATAGGAGGAAAAACCTAAACCGTCAGAATTTTCCGGTGTCAGAAACATTCAGCCATAAAACGGTAAACTCCAAACACCTACCTACCTGTCAGAGCCTCATCAAACACCTGAGGTAGAAACTAAAAACTACATTCATGATAAAATACAGACAAGTTGTTTCAAATGTTGTTTGTTAGTTTCCTTCCATTCACCCATCCATTTTCCTACAGGTAGGATTAAATCGGGAGATTCAGACATTCCTCTCCTAATCAGCACTCTCCAGCTTTTCCTGTGGGAGACCAAGGCACAGAGCCAGAAAGTTTTATGGTCTCTTTTAAGTTCTGGGTCCACCCAGAGGTCTCCTCCCAGACACGTGTTTGGAGAATCACAAAAACTTTTACCGATGTTCAAACCACCTGAGCAATCTTCTTTCAATGTGGAGGAGCAGTGGCTCCAAATCAAGGAAGCTCCTTTCAGCCACCTGACCCCCAAATTCCACTACCTCCGCTCCGCTCTGCTCCGCTCCGACATGAACGCCGGAGCAAAATCGGTCCCGTTGTAGTCAATCAGAGCAATTCCACTACTGCGGCCGTGCTCCGGCAGTGTGGCGCCGTGCGCCGCCCTCTGTTCCGGCAAAAATAGAATCGATTTTCTCCGGACGCCAGAGCACCTCCGCGGTCAATGGACAGAAATCACAATCGCCCAACAGGAAAAGGAGCAAGCACAACTTCCGTTTTTCACAATAAATCGATAAACAAAAGACGTTTTTTGTTTCATATGCACAGGTTTAACAACTTTTAACAACTATCAATGGCGGCTGAAGTTTAAATGCACAAAAGTAAGCCATAAATACAGTTTCTACTATCAAAGTAGTCACACTTTGTTGATCCAAACACTGCTGATCTCTCAACACAAATGATGGGCAGATTGAACAGTTCATTTCGATGCTTCTCCCACACAACGGGTGTTTGGATCTAACTTCCGCGTTTATTGCTCGGACTGTATCGCAAGATCTCGAAAATCCCGCGCATGCTTGTTTGCCTCCCTCAGGTCTCCGCACCGGAGCGGAGCCGTTGTAGAGCGGGTACCAGTAAAAATTGAGTTCGGAAGCGAGCGGCTGCGGAAGGCGGGGGCGGAGCGGAGGTAGTGGAATTTGGGGGTTAACCTGTTATCTTACCCCAAAATTCCACTATCTCTGCTCTGGCCCCGCTTTCCGCCGCTGCTCGCTTCCAAACTCAAATTATACTACACCCGCTCTACGACGGCTCCGCCCCGGTGCGGAGACCTGAGGTGCACAAACAGGCATGTGCAGGATCTTTGAGATGTCGCGATACAGTCCGAGCAATAAACGCGGAAGTTAGTTCCAAACACCTGTTGTGTGGGAGAAGCATCGAAAAGAACTGTTTAATCTGCCCATCATTTGTGTTGAGAGACCAGCAGTGTTTGGATATACAAAGGGTGACTACTTTGATAGTAGAAACTGTATTTATGGCTTATTTTTTGTGTGCATTTAAAGTTCAACCGCCATTGATAGTTGTCATGTTCTGTGTCCCTTTGTTCCACAGCCCCTCCAGTTCCCACTCCAGGTTTTCCTCCTGTGTCCCATTATTATCCCCAGCCCTCTGTAGACTTCCCTCAGGTGTCTTTCTAATCATTCCCCATTCCTAATCAATCTTTATTTAGTCCTCCTCATCCGTCTAGTTATTAGTTGTTTATTTTTGGCCCTCAGTCTTTAGGTTTAGTTTTGTGTTTTATAGTTTTAGGTTTATCTGCTCTCCTCTGGTTCTGTTCCCCATTTAGATAATTGTAGTCATCTGCTTTCCCTCCAGCCCTCACTCCACACACCTGCTGCCTGTTTCCCTAATTGCTCCTCTTTGTTTATAAAAACCTTGTCTTGTCACTCTGTCTTGTCGGCCCATTGTCTATGTCAGCGTTGTTTTGTCGCTCCGTACTAGTCTCTGGTTTCCTGCTCAGTGAGTGAGCTTTTATTAGTCTTGGTTTAGTGGTCAGGTTTTCTCCTCCCTTCCTTTGGATTTTGATTATTTTCTAAAATAAAGGATTTTATGTATTTTCAACCGCTCCTGCCTGTGTGTTCTGGATTTCTGCACTTTGGGTCCAAACCTCCCGTCCGCATCGTGACAATAGTCGTTAAAAGTCGTTAAACCTGTGCATATGAAACAAAAAAATGCTTTTTGTTATCGATTTATTGTGAAATAACGGAAGTTGTGCTTGCTCCCTTTCCTGTTGGGCAGTTGTGATTTCTGTCCATTGACTGCGGAGGTGCTCCGACGTCCGGCGAAAATAGAATCGATCCTATTTTTGCCCGATGGCGGAACGGCGCCGCACGGCCGCAGTAGTTGAACAGCTCTGATTGACTACAACGGGGCCGTTTTTGCTGCGGAGTTCGTCGTGCCAGAGCGGAGCGGAGATAGTGGAATTTTGGGGTTAGTCTTTTGGTAAAACTCCATGTTGATAAATGTATCCAAGATTCCCCAAACAGATGCCTTCCTCTTCAAAACTTTGCTTTCACGTCTGGTCTTATGACATCACAAACATAATGAGTCCAAAGAGGGGACCCCTTGCAGAGTTCAACCAGCATCAGACACGAG